TTTATTTTGTGAACTAGTCTCAAAATACCATCTACACCCTTACATATAAAATTTTGTAAAAAGATCGTGCAGATATTTCGATATAAGACTTACATAATATTTAAGCCTTATTTCTATGATGATATACATATAACTGCTCAATATAAAAAATAACGAGGATTTGGTGAATTAATATGGATGAGATTATGTTCATAACACAACTGAAGAGTTAAAAAAGATTTAAACGACGAAAGTGTTGTTAACTTAATCCCACAAAGTCTGTTTAATTGTTTTATATTATTTTTTCAATTTTCAAATCAGATGTTCATTGGAAGCAAATTTGTGTATACTAAGCATTCGTTTAACTCGTGAGATAACGGTAACACTCTGTTTAGTCAAAAGTAGTCCTTTGATGGTAAGAATGGATTGACCACTCCCGAACTCAAGCCTGGACGATAGTATGTGGAGGTTGAGCACTGTCCCAAGCTACATATACCAGCATCTATTATTATATATCCAGGAACAGCATAATATAAATTATCCAGTTTTTATATTTATTTTCTCCCGAAACTAAAGTCAATATACAAAGCTTAGAACGGTTCACGATCAAACATAATAGACATTCGCTGTCCGTTATATTTAGCAATATATATTTGAATAATGATCTGTTGGTCAATTAATACACTATATATATATATATATATATATATATATATATATATATATATATATATATATATATATTAATGCATCTTTCATTAAATACTATAGACGGGTTTTGTCTATTTATTTTTTAAGTTCCTTTCATATTGTCTGATATGCTTAATAACATTTTCATTGAAATATGAAAGAAAATACCAATACTGATACATGTTTAAACCCAATCGAAGCTTTCAGCTTACATAAGCCATTATCAATGATGCCAATTACTTTTCGATATATCAACAAATACATGTTAATGTTATTATGCTTATCAGACAATATGAAAGGAACTTACTTAAAATAAATAGACAAAACCTGTATATATTATTTAATGAAACATGCATTAATGAAAAATTCCTGCCTAAATATATATATATATATATATATATATATATATATATTCTTGCTCTGTCTTGTACATAGAGCCCTACCTGGATTTTAGGTAAACGACAATAGGAAAACTCTATTATTAGCCGACGCGTTTCAGTTTTTTACAGTTTTCCTATTGTCTTTTACCTGTATAAATATTGTCTTTTCTACAGGTTAACACTTAGAAATTTTCATATATATATATATGAAAATGTATATATATATATATATATATATATATATATATATATATATATATATATATATATATATTATATGCACGGTACTTATTAGAAAGCGCTCAATATCAGAGATAAAGCTAACATATTTGGTTGGATTGATGTGAGTTTTTGTGACCCTGGGTTTCATTATTTTTGCGATTGTCTGACGATTGCAAAAGCGTGAAACCCAGGGTCACAAACTCACATCAATCCAACCAAATATATATATATATATATATATATATATATATTATTGGATATTACTCCCTTGAATTATTGCATTCTGTATCTTCCACATGTATTGACTCACATTTCAAGCACCTGATGAATATTCATATTTACAAGTCTTCATGAACCAACGACAACCTTGTTCTTGTATATAAACACGTGCAACAAAATAAATCCTCACATTTGCCTTTATAATGTGCTGGATAAGAATAGTTTTTTCCTCTTTTCTTTTTATTCCTAATATATATATATATATATATATATATATATATATATATATATATATATGATTTATAGGTAATGGTCATATCATATCATACGTTGCACACACATAAGTTACTGAAAGAAATTTGTGTATGGTTAAATTCTTAACTTTACAGTCACTCATTTAGGAATATGGTATCACAAAAACACACAAATGTATATAACAAGAGAAAGATTCAAATGCGGTAGAATGCTAAAAGTTAACGGTAAAGTAATTGAAAAACTGAGACAGTTAATCAGATAGTGAAGCTCTCTCGAAAGTCTGTCTGCACGCCAGAAATCAGAGTCACGACATCAGAAAACTTTAAATCATTCAGATTAATTCGATCGAAATCTATTCTCATCTGCAGTCCATCTTGAATGGCCAACGCCCTGCGATAACGGTTTTATTTCCCGTGTCCAATCGGACACACCAATCATTGGAAGCAGCAACCATATCCATTTTCTTCGTTTTACTCAGCTTCTCCCAGTGACCGGAAAGATTCCAAAATATTTCTTATAAACAGATATTTCTATAACAATAGTAATACCTTGGAAGTAATAATGGCATCCCAAATTACCAGGCATAGGTTCTGTTAATCTTTAAGAACCTATTCTGTATATTTTCTTTTCTGAGAATGGAAACAAATGATTTTATAGTACAAAAAGAATGAAATCATTTTGATAATTTAATAGAAAGCATTTATTTATTGAGATATTTCCTTATTAAAATTCTGTTCTTATCATATTTCTGTTCAGAAGTTTGATGCTTTTTGACTCTAGTGTCATTACCTTTGAAATGGTTTCTTTTCTCCACTTGAACTGAATCGCTACTGTCGCAAAAATCCAATGGAAGACATATAACATTTATGACGAGAACATTTTTCCACTTCAAGACGATTTCTTTTGTCAGAATAAATTATGTTAATCACAGAAAATCCTCTTTTAGCTTCCACAGAACTTACAACAATAGTATGATTATAATTTTAGCTCATTGGATAGTTTTGTGTTTGTGGTAATTTCTCGTTACGTTTTCACTGCAATTACCGAAATCATTAAGAGAGATCTCATGGCGAAATATTTTACAAAAGTCAGTTCTCTTCAACATTTTTCCACGGAATTACACTTCTTCCATATTCCAAGAATCTGGGCCATAATATTAAGTAATTCATGAATTTTATGATTTATGTTATGAGAGCCATTGCTTAGCGAATGGGTGTCTCTTGAGTTTCACTAGTCGCACACGTGTGCGTAGCCTAAGTAACATTTTATCTAGACTATAGATTATTTATTTTGGATTATTTTTGGATAATCCAACAACGAGTGGAATGATAGGATTGTCACTACTTCTCGGGGGTAATATATTTTATATGTTTTTTTTTTTTTTGCAATAAATAAAAAAAAGATCTGAAAGTGAATTTAATTCCATGACGCCATGAGTTCTGTTATAGTCAGTAATTCAATATATTGTTCTGAAACTGACTGTGAAAATAAAGATCCTACATGAGTAAGAAATAGAAAAGAACATCATTTCCGGAACGAGTTCATAGTGAATATGAATCTAAAGTAATAAAACGGATAAAGTGAATAGTCAAAAGAACTGAAACGAAAACAGAACTTCAAAATATGAGAGATTCTGCATGTTGGCTCAGAGGATAGAATTGGGTATTTACCAAAATTGGTCGGAATTTAATCCCAAAAGCGCGAAGAAAAAGTCGACTTTAATTCAGAATGAATAACAGCATAATCAATTGAATTTGACCAACAATAGATTTTGAGACGAAATAATATTTAGCTGTGCAGATGCTCTTATAATTCATAAATTATCACGTGCTTGCATGATTTATCAAATGAATTACATAAATAACAGTTGTATATTATCTCTCTGTTCAAAAGTTTATAGAAACATTTTTCGGATATCTCAGTGCCTGATTTAAGTGAGAAGTATGAAACATATAGACAATACTGATTACAATATGATATCTAATTGACAAAATACTTATAGTTTAGCTAAAATATCATTTAAGAACACGTGTAAATATATATTTTCGAAAAGCTTTATACACGGCCGCGGCCACTAACCTGAAAACCAAACTGCAGATGAGATGAAATATAGATGGTGTCATATTTCTGATGAATTGTCTTTCTTTCTATGTGTCATGCCCTTTAAGGACGTCGGAGATCATGGCTCTCCACTTCCTTCTAACCCTTGCAGCTCTCAACAAGTTCTTTTCCTCTGCCACCTTCCTCAGACCACGTTCTGTCATCCACTTACTTAAGGCCACTAGGTATGTAATGCGTTGTTTTCACTTGTCTTTCGTTATCTCTATTCGATCCGTGAGTATCAGATTCTTCAGGCCCTCCTTCCTCATTATGTGTCCCAGGAACTTCAGTTGCATCTTCCTAATGTCACGTAACAGCTCAGTATTTTTTTTCGTTACCAAAGAAAGCCTCCTGTTTCGCAATACTCTGCCCAGCTTTTTGAATATGTCCTTGGCCATCCCAATACGTCTACGGATGCCAGTGTCACATTTACCGTCCTCTGTCAGGACGCTTCCCAGATATTTAAACTTCTAAGTCTGCTTGATTGTAGTATTCCAAAGCTGCAAATCGCATTTCGGGCTCATCCTTTTACTGATGACCATGCATAACGACATTTCTGCATGTGGCTGGTTGTATATCTTAAGAATTTCAGTCACTGAGTTTTTTAAAGACCAACACATCCCCATGGTTGTCCAAGCTACGGGGAGATGCGTGGTTTTATCAGGTCACCATATCTAGGTATTTGTAACAAACCTGAAAAAGGAGCTATATCTTCATGATTATAATGTCAGATTTTGAATTAAGAGATATCACTCTGAGGATGGTTGCCAACCAAAGCTTCATACTTTTCTCAAGAGTATTTGCGTGAAAGGAAACATAACAAACTTGACCGGAACTCGAACTAAGCTCGAAAATTTTTATATCGGAGACGATAAGCGTTAAACCAGCCGCATATCTTCCTACCCACCAATGGCAATTTATTCCAGCTAAAACCAAAAGACGAATACGTTAAAATAGGATAGAGAATCACTGTTCACAGTCATTTGCTGAAAACTCTCTAGGTAACTGCAAGAAATATCATCATTCTGTCGCCGTGATAGACAAATTAGACCATTGCCATCCGGGCTCGATACAATTCAAAGTGACTTCATCATAAAGTTATCAACAGTACACGAGAATTTGCACTAAATGTACTTCGGCTTACAGTCACATAACGTTGGAAAACCTGTTCCCATACGACCACCGAAGTTAAGCCACACCGAACCTGGTCGCTACCTGGATGGGTGACCACTTGGGAATACTGTAAACAAATTAACTGTAATCATAAAACCAAAATATGCAGGTGCTATAATGGATAATGGTTCGGTATTGTTAATCGGAGTTAAGTTCCAATTCTCTTCGGGTTCGTGATATTGACTTACTCGGGAAAGGTATAAATTCACTTCTCTTCTCTTCAGGTATCGGTTAATTGTACTATTAAACCTTTATTATCTAAAAACTATTACAATGTAAAAATAGTTTCTGGCTAGGGAAAGAAAAGCCTGGAGCAACAGAGGCCATTCTACAAAAGATGCTGAAAATACAATGGACTCGGATGAAAATGGAAATAAATAACTTGCCAAGGGTTGATAAGCCGTAGAAAATGAAGGAATCAATCAATAAAACTGTTTCAATGATCATTATTTCATTCAGTTCTTCATGTACCAATGACGGGGGAAAAAAGACATCTAATGAGCATTACTGAGCAGCAGTCAATAGTAGAGGATCACCATGAATAAGATACAGGAACTCATTATTAAAGGAACCTCATCTCGAAACCAGAAGATTTTTTTCTGGCAACCGCCTTCTCTGATTCAATACGCAGATTCTGGGCGGTTGGCTGCTTGGTTGGTCGGTTGATTGATGGGTTGATATTGTTTAGCGTCATATCAACGTCTACCGGTTATTTAATCCCGAAATATTTTGAATATAATTTCATGGATCCAAGTAAATATATTTTTAATGCAATTGTATACCTTCAACTACAGATAAAATGTATCTTTGATAGTTTTTTTTTTTAATTAAAATGTCTTGCTGTTATTTTACTATAAAAATGTATTTTTATACTTTCATTGTGGTTTGTTTGTTTTACTATTTTCCCATATCTGGGGCTGTAACTTGCGCTACCACCACGGATCAAAATGTACCTGGAAACAACAGCAATTAATAGGTGGCACCACGCTCCTTGAAATCTACAATCTCCTGATCAGTGGGCTTGCTGCCGGATATAGTTTATCGTCATACCCAGGACTAGATTCTGAGAGGTGTAAAGAAGGCAGCTAGACTGGCTGCTATGCAAATTACTTCTTCAGCTCCTATACCAAAAAATTTAAAAAAATCAATTACGTGAATAAGAGTCCTGAAGCCCCATCTCACATTTTTATATGGATCGTAAAACAGTTATATTTTATCAGGAACCAAAGTAAACAAAATTATTTAGGCAGAATACCTTATGACTTTATTGTGAGGTATTAAAGTATTTATTGTCATGTAACGTATTCTGATCGTGCCAATTGCTAATAAAGCTAACTGATTGGTTTTGTTGAGAGATAGCGAACCTTGAGAGAAAATTAATCGTGTGAAAAGAAATGGTAATCGATAGTTGTAAAGCGTTTGATGCAAAGATAATTAAATATTGAAGGAAACTTAGAAAGCAGACCATAACCTTAATCTGAGACAAAACATAAAATTCAAATCCTTTTTTTTTAATTTTAGAATCATAAACTGTCTTCCAGATTGATGTGTTCCATGGAACATGGAATTCTAGGAGATTCCCGCCCTTGAAGCACTTTCATTATCATATCGTTGGCTTTATGAGAAGCAAAATATTCCAATTCCAGGATATTATTTGTAATTAACGAGTTCACAATTGAATGGTGTCAGTTAGAAATCGACAATAATGCTCAAGATAGGACATTTCATCATTGGTGTATGAAGACCGCCAACTCAACACCCTCGACTCAACACCGACCAACTCATTTCCCTGACAACTCAACTATAAGACAACTCACTCACCAACCTACTCAGCGCGGGAACAACTCATCGCTGGTGTCAAAATCATAGCTTCAAATCGGCGTTGGTCGTCATAATGTACGCATCTCTTTGATCGGCTTTGAGTCGGAGAGATTTTGAAAGTTTCGCTGTTTGTCTTTGTGATTTTTTTTAGTTACAACAGGCTGACAATATGGAGAATCATTACGATGCTGCAAAATGTGCAATGAAACTGTGATGAATTTTTCGAGCAATTAATTGGAGGTCACCTCGCTCCTACTAATTTGAAAAAGTATATGAATACAGATGAAAGAATTTTGAAGATCGTTTCTTCTTTTTCGCAACGATTTGAATACTTAAGCAGAATAGCATAGGATTTTCAACAAGTTTTTAAATTAAAAATAAAATCATGTATGAAAATATGATCATTAATAAATTACTTTTATTTGTTTTAAAAAATTCTAAGAGAAAATTTCATAGTTTGCATGTCCTTGAGTGGTCGTCGCGCTGAATAGGCTGATGGTGAGTCGTCCTGAAGTTGAGTTAAGACGGAGATGTGTCGGCGGCGTTGAGTAGTCCTGCACCCAATAATGCTGGCTTCACCGTATCTGTTCTCTGCCTCATAATAATTATGAAGATATCATGAGATTCAACAGAATGCTCAGTAGTAACTACCGTAAGATCACCATCACAAAGCATTCATGCATAATGTGACCTTATTGTCAACATGTCAAAAGTAATGAAGATTATCTTCTCAAGGTTAAATGAACTGATAAATATGGTCAAGGATGCGATTTAAAGCAAAGAAATTTTGGAGCTTAACCTTTCAAAGAATCCTAGAAGGAGGTGAATTTATTATGTAAATGAATGGTCATTTCAGGGATAGATCGTCTTTGCTTTGTTGATAACAACTGTGCTTAAATCAAAGTTTTAACATTCGTACACTCTGGCGGTGAGAAAAGAACTCCCGAAAACACAGTGTGTAAGGCAGGAGTGGCCGACACAAGCGCGTCCACAGCACAGATCAGAATTGTCAACAATTGGGAATTATTTATTTACAGCAGAATTTAACCTACAACAGCGTCATGCACGTTGGTAGGGGAACGAATGGTGTTTATTAGTGTTTTTAGTGTAGTTTATTTTGTTTAGGCTGAGATACTGAAAGTTGTGCTGGATTTTCTTTATTTTGAATTCTTAGTATAAATCTGATTTTGCCAGAAAATTCTTAAAAATGATTTGGTTTTCGAATTGTATTTTTTTAATTTTACAGATTTAAAGTTTCATATTCATAATTTTATAATGTATTTCTATGTATATTTTCAAATGGTATTGTTTATGTATTGTTTAAAATAACTAATACCACAGCAAGAGCAACGTTCCCCACTTGCTTCTTCATTTAATTATTCCGGGCTACATATCCCAAGTGTTCTGGAGTAGAATCCTGTGATTAAATTTTATTTTTTTGTTGTGATAAGAAGAGAAATATATTGAGAAAACTTTGAAACGTTTCCACGAAAGAGACATCATTTTATGCATAACGCTCAAAAGCGTGCTTACAAAATCCCCAACAGCAAAGAATCAGACACCATCAATAACATTTCTAACAAAAATTACACAAAATTCATAATTTTGCCCCCACACACACACACTCTTTCTACTAAACTCGCAAATTAGTCATCCATCATACTAGGATCGTTAGCACTACCCCCAGGAGAAACAGTGATATAATTAAGAAGAAAAATAAACCCAGTACCGATTCAAATGACCCAACTTATCAAATAAAAATTTACATTGCAAAAAATGTTATGGGGATAAAAGCATCACGTGATCTAAAAGCCCGCATCTACGAACAAAAGAGAGACTTGCGTTTAGACAATCAATCTAGCTCCTTCGTTTTGCATCGAAACGTTGATGAACATAACTTTGATTTCATTAATGCTACCATAATTAAAAAAGAAAATAGGTTGAAAACTTAATAACATTATTACCAACTATAAACACAACCCAAAAACATTACATTACAGCGCCAACTTTCTTTGAATCCATTCTTAAAGAATCTATACTTATACTATGTAAAAACCTATACCTATACTTATCCCTATACAAAAATGCATGCTTAATGAGGTCAGCTATATTTTAGAACGATGTGACACCTCGTAGCGCGGGTTGACCGCCCAAAGGTGAACTCCCACTAAACAGATATATACAATTACGAATACAAATTACCATCCGATGACCAATTAGACATATAAGAACTTTCACAAACTTACATACACACAGAATTATCTACGCTTTTAATGCACATGGCATGTATCTAAACAATGAGAACTGACCATAGTGTCGAGGCCTGTCAAAGTTGCAATTGAAAGCCAGAACTGGAGGCTTATTGAAAACGTTTGATTTCCATAAATGTTGGAAGAAAATAAATTTAACTATATTTGAAATTAGTTAGAATAACATTTTGACCCATACATGAGAAAAATAGAATTTGTTGAAAGTTAAGTAAATGAAAATATGTATTTTTGTCATGGGCATTGATAATTATTAAACAAAACAAAATGATAGTTAAAATTTCTGGCAAAAGATATAATCGACATAATGCTGAAAGAGAAACATTGACACTATTTACAAATCTCATTGAACCCTTTAATCAATCTATCCCCAGTAATTGAATAAAAAGTCCAGTTCAAATTTCCATTAAAATTAACGGTTACAACAGGCAGTGACTGAAGAAGGCTGGAGAGAATCAGCAGAAATGTTATACGACAATCAATCATCTCCGAAATATAGACAGGAAAGTTTCAAAGCCTTTAAAGCTTCTTTTTTGTCTGATCTGGGTGTCTAATATTTGCAAAAGTTTTTTTCCAAAATTATATTTGCAAAGCTATGAGCATGCTTTCTCTACACGTTGAAAAAATTAAATTCAAAAATAAGCATAAAAATGATTAATAATGATTTATAACACATCTTTTCTTTTATTGTATGTAAAAGCATGAAGCAAAAAATAACCATTAGCAAGTGAAATCAGAATGTACCTTTAGTTTTCCACGGTCAATTGAGTTGGTATATTTTTGCATGCTTTTCATAATAAAAAATTGTTTTGATTATCATTTCTTTTAATATATCCAGTTATGTTATACGAGAGACATTTTTATTTCATCAGAAAGAGATGGTTCTAAATTTTCCAGATTGTCAAATATTTCTGAACCTTCCTTACAAAGTTTATAATCGCAAAATGTACATTGATGACCTGGCTTCACAACAAAAGTATC